TATCAACCCTCTCAAGAAGATCCAGAACGCTCAAGCACATACAGTTATGGGGGTCCCATCTTGAGGGAAAGACCAAATTACCAATACACAATAACAAGAAAGCCTTGAAACGTCAACATTGTTGAACTGACGGTGGATCCGCCTTTGCTTTTGCTTATCTGTCACCTCTTCCAAGAAGCCTTTCTTGATCCCTCTATTAAGGCCCCCACCTGCTCAATCTTTTTCATGCCTACACTCTGTATTTCATAAATGGAATTCATCGCCGTTCAGAATGATCTTGTGCACTTATCTCTCTACCTGTTTTGTCTGTTTCCCCCAACGACAGCGTCAACTCCTCAAGAGTGGGAACCTTGCCTTTTTAATTCCTGCCGTGCCCAACACAGTGCCCGGTCCCCAACAGGATGTCAGTAACTGGTGGGTGGATGAGTGGCTCTAATCTCTGCCCTTCAGGAGTTACAATCCTGTGTGGCAGAAAACCACAGAGCAAGCGGGTTCAGTGGGATAAAAAGCCATGATTTAGGAAAGCTTTCTGGACCACAGCTCAACTCTGACAAACGCAGGGTCGCCACGCGTTGGAGTGAGCTCAGCGACTGCTTGGTGGGAGCCCAGAGGAAGGCCAGGGAGATTCAGGGCAAACTAGCTGGAGGAGGTGAAAGCCGAGTAGTCTTAGAGGATGACCACTAGTTAGCCAGGCAAACCAGAAGTTAGCCAGGAGGGAAGGACGTTCTTGGCAGAGGAAACTGTGCGAATAAAGATTTGGAAGTGTGAGCTCCCAGACCCCAAGGAAACTTGGCTGGTTATATTTTGGGTAGGGCTCTCTTGATACGAAGATATAACTGTGGACTAAGGCCAAGGGAGCAGCTGTCACCTGGAGACCAGGGACTTGGGACTGAACAAGAGGGAGCTTGAGAAAGGTTGAGGGAAATGGTACTGGAGCCATCCAAGGAGGGTTCACCCAGGACTTGGACCCTGATTCTGGTCCTGCATCCTTTCCTGGGACCTCTGTGTGGGCTGGAGGGCTCTGGGGACAGACGGACCTGAGTGTGCGTGGCCGAAGGTTGGGTGTCTGGGAAGCAGACTCTGAGTTGGAGAGGGCCTGCAGGACACAGAGGAGGGAGCTTTTAAAAACTAGAATTCATGTGGAAATGGAGTTAAAAAGCTCTCTAGGAGCCCTCATGCGGTAGTGGTTACATATCGGGCTGCTAACCACAAAGTCAATAGTTCAAAATCACCAACCTCTCCTTGGGAGAAAGATGAGATTTTCCGCTCCTGTAAAGGTTGAAAGCCTGGGAAACCCACAGGGGCAATTCTACCCTGTCTTATCGGGTCACTATGAGTCAGAATGAACTCAACAGCAGTGAGTTTTGTGTTTGGGAACAGCTCCGTGAAAGAAAGGAAATGTGTAGGATTGAGAGGGGACCATTAAGCTTCAGGGACCCTTCTGTTTCTCCTCCCCTTTCCTCTGACTTCTTTAAGACTGGACTCTTCAGGGTGTAACTATGTGTCTTTGAGGATGTCTCACAAGCGCCCCAGTGTATGCTGCTACCGGCTGGAGTCACACACCCCATCATTCTTCTCCATAGTCTTACCTCCTTGAAGACAGATAGTCCCACAGTCCTAGCCAACTGGGCCAGACGTCTTGGTGCCATCCTTGACTCCTCCCTTTTAACCAACACCTGCCCATTCAACCTCCCAAATCACTCTCACCTTCATTCATGCGCTTTGTCACAGTCTAGACAATCCCCTTCCCCACTCTGCACCATTGCAATTGCCTTTTAGTTGTCTCTGCACGAGTGGTCAGCATGCTCTTCCCCGAACCCAGACCCAGCTCTGTCTCTTCTTTGCTCAGCATCCTCTGACTCTCCCTGTTCTGCAGAATCAAGTACAAACTCTTAGCTTGACATTCAAGGCCCTTCATGAGTCGACTGATGTTTACTGTTTTAACTGAGTCTCTTCTTAACCTTCTCATACTTTTTAAAATTTTAGCCAAATTGAAGGTCTTCGCTTCCCTGAAAGCAAGGCACATACATCCTCTTCTGTTCTTCCAGGTGTTTGTGCATTCTGTCCTCTCTGCCTGGGATTTCTTTTTCCTTGATTCATACATAGGCCGACCCCTTCTCTTCCATCAACTGAGGCAGGAAGTCTTACCTGACCCCTCAAGTCTGGCCTAAAGGTACCTTCCCTGAATTCCCGTGACACCTTGTACTCTACCATCTCATCACTGCTCCCTTTCTGGATTGTTCTCTCACAGAATGGTGACCCGTTCAAGGTCTGTTTTCTGAGCCCTTAGTACTCTGCCCAGAACCTGAAGCAGTGAGTGCTTGTCCAGTGATTCATGAAGCACACATCATTGATAAATGATATGTCACAAAATAACTAGACCAAATTGTACCAGTGCTGTGGTAAATCACACTGGAGTCTGAGGCCAAATGAAAAATCAGTAATACTGTAATTTCCACAGTACTATAATGCCTTGATAATCATAAATGTATTTATAAACATTTATCAATACATTAATGAATGTATTTTTTAGGTATTACATTCACGTATTCATCATCTTGATTACTACTGAGTCTTTTGGTGTTCCTTAAATTTTGTACCAAGGGGACAAAATTTGCCACACTGTAGTGCTGCCTCAGGGTTGGTCATCTGGGTGGAGAAAGACTTTCTGGTGTATAGTTGCCACCCCTCACCCCCCACAGAGCGGGGCCCAGCCCCTAAAGAGGAAGGGACTTCCCGAGGAAGGGGGCGGGGGTGAGTAAGGCTGTGACTTCCCCAAAGACCCAGAGAACACCATGTCCATTCTGCTAGCCACCTCCCAAGTTCTCTTGAGCAGGGCTCAGTCAAATGGGCCCCCTCTTTCCAGGAACAGGGTCCCCCCAAAGCATGAGGGTCCAGCTGAAGAGCAAAACCAGGTCAGCTTCAGATGGATGGGCACATTGAGCTCAAAGAAAAGGGGCTTGAGGTTTGGGAGCAGCAGTTTTCAAATGATCTGAGCTCAAGACACCTCAATATCCTTAAAAAGTGTTGAAGGTGAGGGACAGCAAGATCAACTGGCATAATATTGTCCACAAAGACCATGTTATGCATCCTGTTTTAGTGAGTAGCAATGGGGGTTCTTAAAAGCTCATGAGTGATCATCTAAAGTTCAACTATTGATCTCTCCCTGTTCTGGAAGACAGATTTATGAAGAAAACCAGACACATGGAAATAATTCCTTTAACAGGCTCATGTTCTACTTGAATGTCAGCCTCCCTGATCCTGAGACCAGAAGAACTAGATGGTGCCCAGTTACCACTACTGACTGCTCTGGAAGGTAGAGTGGGAGAACAATGTGGAGCAAAATTCAAAATCATAATAAAACCAGAGAGATTGCATGATAGAGACTGGTGGAATCCATGAGACAATGGCCCTTAGTGAACGCATTGGATCTGGAAATGAACTCATCCTCATGGTTCAATTTTCTGTCAAATAATAGACAGTTCTATAAGGGGAACAATAACACTAGCCTGGTAATCCATGAGCTTGCGTAATGGCTGTAGTCTCAAGGGTTCTATCTTCACTATCTGCTCAGTAAGCTTACTTTGGGTTTGTGAGGTTTTTGTTTTTTTTAAAATGATTTTGAGTTTGCGCCACATTTTTCTTCCATTCTATTTAGGACCTTTTAATATGATCCCTTTCAGAGCTTTTTCAGGTAGTGGCTGGGCACCATCTAGTTCTTCTGGTCCCAGAATCGCCCATGGGGCTGACTGCTTCTCTGAATCTTTGCTTTTCTTCACTCTTCTCTCATTCAGACACAAGAGCCTAATCGTGAACTGTTAAGACACCAGTGTTACTCACCACAACACTGTCTCTGTGGGCTCTGTAATGCCAGTTGACCTTGTTGTCCCACAAGATCATGGAACTGAACCTCAGCGACCCATGCAGGGAGGATTAGTTCAATGACCTTTCTACATCTTTAATGCTCCCACCAATGGCAGTTTCTTAAAGGTTGTTTCTGACATTATACCTAAAATCATATCAATGAATGTTTTGTAAAAATTACATTAAAATCCATTCATCTATCTTGTTTTTATTATGATTGATAAAGGAGAAGGTCAGTTAAAAAGGGGGACATGCTTAATAAGATAGTTTGATACAATACTTAAAACAATGAACTCAAACATGGTAATGATTGTAAGGAATATTGGTTCTGCTATACATAAGGTTTCTCTAAGTAAAAGTTGGGAACAACAACATTCTGCCCTTTGACTGGATCTTTTGCCTATGCATAATTTTAAATAGCAAGCATTGCTTATTTGGAATAAAGTGGTTCAGTGATTACAAAGGACTTCCAAATGCAATTTCCCAGTATATACTTTCCAAACCCACTCATTAATATAATATAATATTAACATCATGTTCACAACTCTTTTTTTTTTTAATTAACCAACAATCTCATCGGAAAATTCCTTTTAAGTCTTGGAAGAGCTGTCAGCCTCACATTGGCAGATATCTGTTTTCCCAAAAGTTCCCTGTTATCGCTGGTAACCAAAGCCATCACGTGCTTTCCTCAAAGAGCCAGGCTCGCTTCATTCATAGTTAAGAAAATGTCAGCCAGATACTCAAGTCTGAGAAACTGTAGCTTGTCAGTGATTCAAGTCCACGGGAAAAGTGAATCCTACAGTATCAAGAATTTCGTGTAACTACCATTATTTCCATGTACAGCAATCTATGGTACATTTACTCATTTATTCAATGACAGTCATGTCATCATCTTCTGGAACATCATCTTAACTATCCAAACCCTTATTTTCGGGGGGATGCCTTATATTTCAGTGAGAGGCAAAACTGTAAGTATTTCTTATTTTGGGAGATGTCTTACTTTCGGGGAAACAGGGTATATGAAAGGGTTGTGGCCAAAAAAAAGAAAGAAAGGGTTGTGGCCTTAGGAAGGTTGAGAACCACTGCTGTGGACTCTGTGGCCCTTCATTAACTAGAATTCCTCTACAATCTTCCAGGCACAGGCAAGAACCTCTGACCAGCTACCTCTTCCAGCTCAGAGTAATGGAGGCCAGTGATTTCTCCCGGGTGGACTCTGAGTTCCGATACATCCTCTTCCCGATTGTTTACACCATCATCTTTGTGTTGGGTATTGTCGCCAATGGCTACGTGCTCTGGGTCTTTGCCCGTCTGTACCCTGCCAAGAAACTCAATGAGATAAAGATCTTCATGGTGAACCTCACCGTGGCTGACCTGCTCTTCTTGGTCACCCTGCCACTGTGGATCACCTACTACTACAACCGGGGCAACTGGATTCTACCCAAATTCCTGTGCAATGTGGCTGGTTGCCTCTTCTTCATCAACACCTACTGCTCTGTCGCCTTCCTGGGCGTCATCACTTACAACCGCTACCAGGCGGTGACACGGCCCATTAAAACTGCTCAGGCCACCACCCGCAAGCGTGGCATCACTTTGTCCCTGATCATCTGGGTGGCCACTGTGGCTGCTGCATCCTACTTCCTTATCATGGACTCCACCAACACGGTGTCCAACAAGCCTGGCGTAAACAACGTCACCGTCACCCGCTGCTTCGAGCACTATGAAGAGGGCAGTGTCCCGGTCCTCATCATCCACATCTTCATCGTGTGCAGTTTTTTTGTTGTCTTCCTCATCATCCTCTTCTGCAATCTCTTCATCATCCACACGCTGCTCACGCAGCCAGCACACGTACAGCGCAATGCTGAGGTCAAGCGCCGGGCTCTGTGGATGGTCTGCACGGTCTTGGCTGTGTTTGTCATCTGCTTCGTGCCCCACCACATGGTGCAGCTGCCCTGGACCCTGGCCGAGCTGGGCTTCCAGAACAACACGTTCCACCAGGCAATTAACGATGTGCATCAGGTCACGCTCTGCCTCCTTAGCACCAACTGTGTCTTAGACCCCGTCATCTACTGCTTCCTCACCAAGAAGTTCCGCAAGCACCTTACTGAGAGGTTCTACAGCATGCGGAGCAGTCGGAAGTGCTCCCGGGCCACCATCGACACTGGCACTGAAGTCGTCGTGCCACTCAACTAGGTGCCGGTCAATTTCCTCAAACATTAGTGCCCCATCGTTGGAAACAGGCCCAAAGGTTTCATGGCCCAGGGGTATCACGGACTGACTCGAGGGCAGAAGAGCTATGTGCTGTGCTCTGGGCTGTGGTTTGTGCACTTCCTTCCAGGACTCTGATGGCCCGATAGATATGCAGGCAACCTCACCAAGGCCCAACTGATGTCAGCAAGGCCCAGAGCCTCCCAGGGAAGCATGCCCTTGGGCTGCAAAGTGCTGCCTCTGCTGAGGCCATGGAATGGAAGGAGCTGGCCAGTGTCCTTTCCTCCCCTGTCTGCTGGGCCCCTCCTAATCCAGGAGGCGAGAGGAGCCATTGCAGCCCCAGGGATTGGCCAGGCACTTTGCATTCTGGGGTCCAGAAGAGAGGTGTCAACTTCTCTTGAGAAGCTCTAGCTGCCTGTCTCTGATTTGAGGTAAATATATGCAAATGAGCCTCTTGGGCCCTGAGCTGCCTACCTGCAGCGTGAGGTTGGCACCCTCAGACCAACAAGGCTTGGAGGAGCCTTCCCTGGCTTCCAGAGCCCCGCGGGCCATCTGAGAATTCCTCTTACCTTCCAGCCAGTGCCCCCATGTCATTGGTACCCTTGGCTCCTGCCAACTGAGCTAGCCTGGGATTGCTTCTTTGATGAACGCTTCCTAGTGGCCAGTGGCCTGCTTGGGTCTTGGATGGGCTGGGTTTGATGAATGGTGGCCAAGCAGACAGTGCTCTACAGTAAAGCTTTGGGGTCACACTGGCCCAAGTTCAGACTTGGCTTATCAATTTCCTATCAAGGGACTTTGAGGTCAATTTCCTACCTCTTAGGGGTTGTTATCAGCGGCAAATGCTGAGGCCAACACCTCTTGGTCAGGGTGACGACTCCTCCCAGACACCCCCTTTTCTGGAGTTTGGCTCCTTCCCTGCTGCCAGCCCTTCAATTCTCACATAGCGGAATGGACGAGAAGGGCATGTCTGGCTGGAGTGGGCTAATCAGGTTCTCTCTTGCTCTCCCTGGAATGGGCAGCAGGATTCAGAGGTGCTGTTAGGCTCTGCAGGCCACTTCCCTGAGCACACAGCAGCTCTAGCGCTCTGAGTACCTCGGTGTGTAAATGTCTGTCTGCGTGTGTGATGGGGCGGGTGGCTGCCTGTGTGAGTGCAATGGGAAAATAACTGCTCAGAGAGGGGATGAGGACGCCCGGTGCAGAGAGAAGAGACACCACAGGAGTCTGGACTAAGAAGGGCTGTTGGGGACGTGCTAACCCTCCTCCTCAGGGCCAGCCCTTCTCAGGGGCGCCTCTGTGTGCCCTCCTTCCGGTCCCTGAGAGTTCCTTGAAGACACCATCTCTCGTTTGCCGACGCTGATTTGAGCGGCGCTCTGTGATTTGCAGCCCCAAAGACCTCTGGACGAGGTCCATTGCTCATGTGCCAAGCAGCACGCCCGGAGCCTCAGCCACTCTGGCACCCCCACCCTTGCGAGCTTTGCCATGTCCTTGTACCACCCACGGTTCACTTAATAAATATTTTAATTTAAATTGAATCACGCTTCAAAGCTTACATTTATTTAAAAGGGAAACTTCTTGGCATAACTGTAACTGAAAACCAATCCTACCTGCCATGCGGTAGGCAGACAAACAGAAGTACCTTAAAGGTTTCTCTAAAAAAATGCTTCTTGACATCCCATCAAAAAACACCTCATGCAAGGAATCCAGGACAGAGAACCCCCGCAGGAACAGTAATGGGAGTAGGGACACCATGAGGGTAGGGGAAGGTGGGAGGAGAAGGGGGAGAAAAGGGGAACCGATCACAACCAATTCACACACCCAGGGGGACAAACAACAGAAATGTGGGGGAAGGGAGACAGGGAACGGTGTAAGATATGAAAATAATAATAATTTATAATTTATCAAGGGTTCACGTGAGGGTAGAGGGCAGGTAGGGAGAGAAGGTAGAGAAAGGGGAAACCAACTGTAGTGATCAACGAATGTACAACACACACACACACACACACACC